TTAAGTATAAAACTGTATATTTTCTTTATATGTTTTATACTTGTGTTTAGATTAATACTGTTTGGATAGCCTTAGATATGTTTTAACTGCAATCATGGGAAATATATGATTAGTACAGCAAAATATAACTGTCTAGTTAGTATTGCAATTGTTTAGCTAGAATATGCATAGTGATTTTTGTTATATTTTCTCTAACATCTTGTTATTAAACATTATTATTTTCTGCACTCTGACTGACAGTCATTTGGTCATTAAGTGTTCGGATATATCTCTGCCAAAATACCATACGCAGTTAATAATCTAAATTATAGCTGTACAAAATTAAAGGGTTGGTTTTTAATGATTTTCAATATATCTGGTCTTCCATTAACTATATTGTTAATTCAACTAGGTAATGTCTATTGTTAATGACATGTTACATGTTTGTTAGTCCACCCAATTTAAAGCTTTAGTGAATTTGTTGGCGCTATATAAACATAATAATAATGCAATGTTTTGTGGACCCAGGACAAACTTGAAAACGAGAGAAATCTCAATATATCTTTCCTGGTAAAATATTTTATAAATAAATAAATGTAACTAGGTTACACCAGGACACATGACTGGTAGCCATTTTGGTGCTCATGAAAGTTTAACAGCAGTTATTGTGAAACCCTTTGAATTTTGTTAACTAAAGAATCCAAAACCACGAACAACAACAGATGTCCATTGTGAAATCTTTAATTCAGATTTAAAACAAAATAGAACATCAAATGAAAATGTTTAAGACAAATTATTAGTGCGGGGAAAAGAGATGGTTCTCTCAATAGTATCACTTTCCCAAACAGTAGAACACACACCAGTGTGCAAAATTATGGTTTGAAAAAAAATTATTCTTATGGGCTTTGTTAGTGGAATGCACTACGTTTTAGTTAAAAATGTTAATTGTGCAGCACATATCAGTTGTTACTAATACCAACTTACCACCAATCACCATAAATACTTAAACGATTACTCCAAGCACCATGACCACTTGCTGGAACTCTGCACATACAGAGATACAGAAATACAGATTCTACTGCTGGAGGTGTAAGTCCACTTCCAGCAGTGTCATTAATTATGTGCATAGCGTGCTGACAACAATTTACCTATGGTACCATGCTCTCTACCCCCCTGTGCTACTCAACAATGCCTCCAGGACATCCCTCCCTCTGCAGTGCCTGCTTGAGCTTGGTCTGCTCATTCTTTGCAACCTTGGCCTCCATTATTTACTCAACCTCATCACTCTGTCCTGTTTCGTTTAGGATTTGGTTCAAAGTTTTCATACTCAACTTCAAAGCTCTCCATAACTGTGCTCCTGCTTACACTTCCAACCTCATCAGCAGATATGTTCCAGCCCGGCCTCTTCGCTCCACCATTGACCTGTTACTATTCCATTCTTGTACCAACATCTTACCTGCAGGACTTCTCCAGAACTCCCCCTCCTAATGGTTTATCATCTCATTGCATGGGATTGTAGGGTTATTTTTAAATTTCATTCAAATTTTTTTTTAATAATTTAAAGCTCCACTCTAAGCAGCTAAACACCTCAAGCTCTTTGCACAGAATAAATTTAAACAAAATAAAATGAAAAAAGATCATGAGTTTTTATTTCAGTAAATGTGATCCACTGAGTAACACTTGGCATGACAAGTTAAACGGACTTACGTCATCATTAATATTTAATCAAGTTATTTTAATTATATCCAGATTAACCATTAACATAAGATATTATTGGGTCATTCAACACATTTAATAAACACATTTTAATATAAAAATATATAATATAAAAGCTCACTTTTTCGCAAAATCATATCAATTAAACTGTTAATGGCTCCAAAAAAAACCCCAACCTAAGTCTGCATTGAATACTATTCTACCAATCTACTTCCCTAAAACTTCCCTTACCTTTTGTGTCACTTTACCCCACTCCATCTAACATGTAAACTCACTGAGCAGGGCCCTCAAGCACTCTGTTTCTGTGTGTCAAACTTGTCTGGTTACAATTACATGTTTGTTAGTCCACCCAATTTAAAGCGTTAGTGAATTTGTTGGCGTTATATAAACATAATAATAATAATAATAATACATGCATTTAAGCTAGATGTTAAATCCTTTCAAAGATATATTAAAAACAGACATTACATTACATTTAACATGGATCTGTTAAAAAAAATAATAGATTTTTGCAATTTAGCCCATAACAGCTGAAGTAGAAAAGTAGAAGAGAAAGAAAAATAGTTAATTTTAAGAATCTTTTAGTTGTTTTGGACTTTAATACGAAATCCCCTTTTCAATTCACAGTAATTCCTGCTCTAGGGAAGATCCCTGATGCATTTGTGAAAACAATTCTTGTAAATTCCCATGAAGATAATTATTTGATAGTCTTCTGTTACAGCTTGGAGACCTCCTGGGGATCCACATGTTCTGCTGTAGATATATAACAGGCAGACTGTTACTGATCTGGACACATCTCCTTGTCAGTCTGTATGGTGGGAATGTCATTTGACAATTTCAATGACCTTGTACATAAAAGTGAATATATAGCGTTTTTGAAGAAACTTCACCAATGGGAGAACATATCGGGAGCATCAAAGACATGGTAATATCTCTTTCTCATTTATTCCATGATTAATGAATTATAGTACATACACATTTATAATAAAGTATCAGCTTATACAAAGCACTATATTCATTGCAAATGAAGTCATATGGGTGGATTGAGAATCTCTGAGAGCACCAGGATAACATAAACAAGTCTGGGTAGAAACAGCATTCTATAATCTGTGTCTTTCTTACTTAATAGTGGACAAAAAAACCAAATATTCATAGACATATGTAGATTTCTTAACATTTTCTATGTGTTTTGGAATGTGCATATTGTAGATAATTGATCAATATAAAGATGAGATAAATACAACTGTTATGCACTGTGTTCTGACACCTTTCTATTATGGCTATCATGGCCAGAATTAAGTTTTTCAGCAATTTGAGCTACAGTAAATCTTCTGCCTGATCGAACCTACATTATCAGCAGAATCGCTTGTGTGTTTTGCCCTAGGAAGGGCAGAGGTAAAAAAACAGAGCCAAATCATGCCTTTTCTTTATTGGAGAGTTAGAAAGACGTTGTGTAACTCACTCAACCCTGTCAGCCTGTACAAAGTGTCTGGGGTTGGCATGCTGTGTGTGCAGACACAAGACACAAAGGTTGCACAAAACTGACATGACCATACAGGGAAATAGTAATCCAGTTGACTGAGTGACAGCACAGAGAGGTGGTCCTACACAAAGAAAATATCCAAAATCAAACATTTTGACAAAGAAAGGCAACAGGAAGAATGTCTTTGTGAAATAACATGGTTATGGTGCAAAGAGTTTCCATTTAATGGTTGTCCTAAAGTTAAATACCTAATTTAAAAGCAAGCTAAATAATTGAAGTAGTATGATCAATTGGTAACTATTTGTATGTGAGTTTGATAGTAGTGTGATCATTGAGCCATTCTCTCAGTGATTACAGGGGCACTATAGTCACCAGAACTACTACAACTTAATGCAAAGTATAACGCTTATTTTATTTGTTCTGGTGTGTATAGTCAGTCACTGAAGGCTTTTTGCAGTAAACACTGTATTTGTTTTTAGAGAAAATGCAGTGTTTACATTATACATCCAGTGGCCAGTCCTCAGATGGCTGCTAGAGGTGCTTCCTGGGGCAGTGCTGCACAGTGTGACTGACATTCAGTGTTTCCACCCTCTGTATGGAGATACTCTTTCCTCACAGAGATGCATTAATGAGGAGATGCCGAGTGGCCAGGGTGGTGTTTGGCTCTGCCCCATCCCCCCTCCTTGTCTGAGATCATCAGAATTGGACAATCTCTGCAAATCCAATGCTTTTCTACAGGAAAGCATTATGATTGGTGAGATCATCATTTCTGATTATATCAGCCAATGGAACGGGGTGGGGGTAGAGCCAGCACCAGCAGACTGGAATAAAGGTAAGATTTTATTATGTTTAGGGGAAAGAGGGGGGCCAGGGGGGCTAGATAGTGTTTTTAACAATATAGGGTCAAGAATATATGTATGTTCTCCTGACCCTACAGTGTTCCTTTACAGTTATGAATGTAATTAATAGACTATTATCCACATCTGATTTATTGAAATTATCTGTCTATATTTGTGCTACCTGCATTTCACTGATATTTTGTTTATGTGAATGTAGGAGAATTTTACAAACAAGTCAAATATAGAGGAGTTCTTGATAATCGGATTTGTAAACATCCAAAATATTAAAATTTTACTCTTTATTCTTTTCATGATAATTTATCTTGTGACATTATCTGCAAATATAATGGTTATCTCGATAGTATCTATGTGTAGATACATTGTCTCTCCTATGTATTTCTTCCTCAGCCATCTGTCTTTCAATGACATGATCATCATCACAAACATTGTTCCTGAAATGCTTTATGTTATATTAAAAGAAGGAAGTACCATATCCTTTGCTGGCTGTTTCACTCAAATTTACTTTTTTTCCCAATCAACCATTACTGAGTGCCTACTTCTTACTGTAATGTCCTACGATCGATATTTGGCCATCTGTAACCCACTGAGATATTCCTCTGTCATGGACCTGAAACTTTGTGGTTCTCTTGTAGCTTCATCTTGGGGATTTGGAATACTAGCTGCATTACCACATATTATTATTTTAAACCAAATTACATTTTGTGGGTTAAAAGTTGTTAATCATTTTTTCTGTGACCTGATTCCAGTTCTCAGAGTTTCTTGTTCTGGTTCATTAGCTAATGAAATAGTAATCATTGTTATGTCTGTTCCAGTTACATTTGTTCCAATACTTTTTATAACTGTGACATATATCAATATCTTTCTTGTAATTATCCGGATCTCAACCACCACCGGGAAACAGAAAGCCTTCTCTACCTGCAGCTCCCACCTGACCATCGTATGTCTATATTACGGGACAATAGTATTTAATTATGTGGTCCCACCAAAAGAAGAATATTTGGGTTTGCAAAAACTGATTTCTATGCTTTATACTATAGCAGCCCCTTTATTAAACCCCATTATATACAGTCTGAGAAATGAGCAGTTTAAAGAAGCAATAATTCAATTTATTTTGAAGAGAAAAAGGGAAAATTAAGATAAAACTATATCAAACTGCAAATATTTATTTACTTTAAATAACATAAAAATGTATTTAAACAATTCAAACAGTACATTACATTTACCACATTTACCACATTTACATTTAAATTACTATTATTAATTTGGTGGACGAACAGACATGTAGTTGTAACCAGACACACAGGAACAGAGGGGTTGAGGGCCCTGCTCAATGAGCTTACATGCTAGAAGGAGTGGGGTAAAGTGACACAAAAGGTAAGGATAGTATTAGACTAATAACAGTTGCAAGAGAGGAATCAGTCGGGAGCTATTAACAGTTTAATTGATACACTTTTATGAAGAAGTGGGTTTTTAATGATTTTTTGAAGGAGTGGAGACTGGGTGAGCATCTAACGGAAAAGTGAAGTGAGTTCCACAGGAATGGTGCAGCCCTGGAGAAGTACTGAAGGCGAGCATCAGAGGTGGGAGTACAGACAGAAGATAGACGTAAGTCTTCAGCAGAGCATAAGGGCCTAGACGGGACATACTTGTGTATTAGCAGGGATAGATAGGTGGGAGCAGCATTATCTAGAGATTTGAAAGCAAGAACCAGAATTTTAAATTGAGCCCTATATCTTACAGGAAGCCAATGTAGGGACTGACAGAAAGGTGAGGCATGGGAGGTGCGGGCGGACAGGAAGATGAGCCTCGTTGCCACATTCATTATGGACTGTAACAGTGCAAGTTGGGAGCACGTAAGACCACTGAGAAGTGGATTACAGTAGTCAAGGCAAGAAAGGACAATGGAATGGACCAGCACCTTAGTCGCATCTGGCGTTGGGTTGGATGCGTGCAATGTTTTTGAGATGGAAACAACATGAATTGGCGATAGACTGAACATGAGGCGTGAAGAAGAGGTCGGAGTCAAAGAGAACACCTATGCAGCAAGCCTGCGTGGTGGAACTGATGTTAGCACTGTTGACTTGGAGGGAGACAGACACAGGAGTAGCAACACTTGAGGGAGGAAAGACTAGTATTTCAGTTTTGGTCAAGTTGAGTTTAACCCCTTAAGGACACATGACATGTGTGACGTCATGATTCCCTTTTTTCCAGAAGTTTGGTCCTTAAGGGGTTAAGGAAGTGGGCAGCCATACAGTAAGAAATAGCAGAGAGGCAGTCAGTGACACTAGTCAAGAGGGATGGAGAGAGAACAGGAGAGAACAGGTAGATTTGCATGTCATCCTCATAGAAACGATATTGGAAGCCAAAGGAGTTAATGCGTTTTCCAAGGGAGGCAGCATAGATATATATATATACCACGGTAACAAAGAATACATTCCTCCTAGCAGCCTCATTTTTTGATATTCTGCTTAAAATAATTCACAGGGTTTGTCTGACCTCAGTTCTCCAATTTGAAATTGGTCCTTCCAATTCAAATAAATGTCCAAAATACTATAATGATCCTATATTAAATACACACTAAACCCACTAGCCTGTGACGTTTATGGATTGCTTTCTTTCTGGATGCCAGTCACTCAGTGAGCAGCAATGAGTAAAACATGTTGGAGTAGCAGTGACTACCCGTGCAGGTACTGTTACTGGAGACACTATATTTTAATCTTTTTACCTGCAGGTCTCTCCCCTCTGCCAAGTCAGGACCACCTGCTGCATTTATATTAAGCCAAGTTTGGTTTAATATATATGTTTGAATGTTAAAAAGCATAGAAGCCCTAGAAAAAGTGTTAATTAGGCAACCCATATTGTGTACAGATCACTCTTTACACTATTAACCCCTTAAGGACACAGCTTCAGAAGCTTGTCTTACGCTTAAGGACAAAGGCCATTTTCTTAGCTGTTTGTATTCAAACGCAATTTACATCTCTGTCATTTATTCCACCAACACATATTATACATCGTTTTTTTTAGAGGGCAAACAGGGCTTTAATTTGATGTCACATGTACATAGATACATTCTTATTAATTATATAAAAATGACAAAAAAATAAAAAAACAAACAAAAAAAAGAAATTTCTTCAGAATTTTGGCAATAATAGCGTGTGCATAATATGTCCAGCTTAAAAAAAGTAATTCAAAATAAATTCATTTATGTGTCTTGATTTATAAAGTACATCATATGTATAGAATTTCAGCTTATTTTGAAAGCTACAGGTCACAAAATACAAGGACTAAAATAACATTTCAATTTGCAACAATTTTAGAATTTGGGATGTTTGTCTTGTAAGTTTAGTAGCCATCACAGAAAACAACATTGTCACACAAAAGTATATTTTTATATAAAGTAGACATCAGAGGCTATTTACATAAGGTTAGTTTGAAACTTTTTTACGTAGCCATTTCATTGCTAATCTCTGCTAAATATTGGAGTAAAATTATGTTTTTTCTTTATTTTGGCATATACACATATAACAATGTTTTTGTAATGTGTATTTCGTAAAGCTGGTGTGTGCTATTCCTGCACAGAACCCCATATAGTGTTTAGCTACATCTGCTAATTATATCGATACCCCAATTGTATGTCTTTGGCACTTTTCTGTAAAGCTACATTGCCAAATAATAGTCAAGGCTATTTCAGTTTCTATAGTAAGAATTTTTGTAGATGGATTTTGTCCCATTTTAGGGTATTATTGCAGTGTGACTGTTCAAATAACCCCACAAAGGGCTTTCACTTGATAAAGCAGACACCCCAGGGTATCTTATATGGTGTATATTGTGCCTTAACTTGTCACCATTTTTTCACTAATATATGTCAATGTTTGTGGTGGGGGGGGGGAGGGAATGGCATTTTTACATATACAGTCAGGTCCATAAATATTGGGACATAGACACAATTACATAGAAACATAGAAACATAGAATGTGACGGCAGATAAGAACCATTCGGCCCATCTAGTCTGCCAAATTTTCTAAATACTTTCATTAGTCCTTGGCCTTATCTTATAGTTAGGATAGCCTTATCCCACGCATGCTTAAACTCCTTTACTGTGTTAACCTCTACCACTTCAGCTGGAAGGCTATTCCATGCATCCACTACCCTCTCAGTAAAGTAATACTTCCTGATATTATTTTTAAACCTTTGTCCCTTTAATTTAAGACTATGTCCTCTTGTTGTGGTAGTTTTTCATCTTTTAAATATAGTCTCCTCCTTTACAGTGTTGATTCCTTTTATATATTTAAATGTTTCTATCATATCCCCCGTCTCGTCTTTCCTCCAAGCTATACATGTTAAGATCCTTTAAACTTTCCTGGTAAGTTTTATCACGCAATCCATGAACCAGTTTAGTAGCCCTTCTATGAACTCTCTCTAAGGTATCATTATCCTTCTGAAGATACGGTCTCCAATACTGTGTACAATACTCCAAGTGAGGTCTCACCAGTGTTCTGTACAATGGCATGAGCACTTCCCTCTTTCTACTGCTAATACGTCTCCCTATACAACCAAGCATTCTGCTAGCATGTCCTGTTGCTCTATTACATTGTCTGCCTACCTTTAAGTCATCAGAAATAATCACCCCTAAATCCCTTTCCTCAGATGTTGAGGTTAAGACTCTATCAAATATTCTGTACTCTGCCCTTGGGTTTTTACGTCCAGGATGCATTATTTTCCACTTATCCACATTAAATGTTAGTTGCCACAATTCTGACCATTTTTCTAGTTTACCTTAATCATTTGCCATTTGGCTTTTCCCTCCTGGAACATCAACCCTGTTACATATCTTAGTATCATCAGCAAAAAGACATACCTTACCATCAAGACCTTCTGCAAAATCACTAATTAAAATATTAAAGAGATTAGGTCCATGTACAGGTCCCTGAGGTACCCCACTGGTGACAAGTCCAAGCTTCGAATTTATTCCATTGACTACAACCCTCTGTTGCCTATCACTCAGCCACTGTCTTACCCATTCACCAATATTGGAACCCAGACTTAAAGATTGCAGTTTATTGATAAGCCTTCAATGTGCAACAGTGTCAAAAGCCTTACTGAAATCTAGGTAAGTAATGTCTACTGCACCACCCTGATCTATAATTTTAGTTACCCAATGTTAAGACACCCCTGGCACAAAGGAGTGAAATCGCCGTTTAGTTAAGCATCCCCATTCTCTATAATGCAGGCTCAATTCGTGTATATTTCCACCATACGAACTGCAACCAGAGGAATGCGCCAATCTACCGAACGCGTCCCGTACGGGTGCTCCAAACTCCTGAACAATAAATCCACGAATCGCGGCTAACAGCCGAACCAATGTATTCTCCAAGCGGCTTACTGTTCCAGCAATCAGTCGCGAACCGTGTGTAGTAAATCCCCCCAATAACGAGACCAAGCTCCGCATTGAGGGTAAAACAAGAACTCGGTTTACTGTGGGCTACCCGCCCTTATTTATGCAGGTCTCCCACTTGGCGGACACTCCCCTATGGGACCAAATGGGAGACTGTAGTTACAGACAGACATATAGCATGTTAGGACATACAGGCACAGAATATTCCCACAATGCATCCTGGTTTCCTCCCCTCTGCCCTGGAGAGAATTGATAAGTAATTCAAGAGGACATAGTCTTAAATTAGAGGGACAAAGGTTTAAAAATAATATCAGGAAGTATTACTTTACTGAGAGTGTAGTGGATGCATGGAATAGCCTTCCAGCTGAAGTGGTAGAGGTTAACACAGTAAAGGAGTTTAAGCATGCGTGGGATAGGCATAAGGCTATCCTAACTATAAGATAAGACTAGGGAGTAATGAAAGTATTTAGAAAATTGGGCAGGCTAGATGGGCCGAATGGTTCTTATCTGCCGTCACATTCTATGTTTCTATGTTTCTATGTTTCTAGGACAGAGGCAAATCACCATTTTAACTGAAGCATAAAAAACACATGAAAATAAATAATTATGCAACTACCGAACATATTACATTCGTGCAATGTATCCCCAGATAGCTTGGATCTGAGTGCATATTCTTAGCGAATAGCGCTCAGATCCCATACGCACAATTCAGTCGCCATGGAGTCAAAGTCTTTTACAGTCTTTTGGTATGCGTTTTACTCCATGAGAAGGCTATCTGGGTTAAGTCCATTCGTATAATCCAAACTCCCGAACGGGCCGGTGTTCACATGCCTTGACGATTGAGAAGGGTGGTCTGTAGTTTCAGCGGTGTTCGGCAGAAAAAGTGTCCGTTTTTAGTTCCATACAATCTGCGCCGAACACCGCTGGTCTTTCGCATGGTTTGAAATGGCTGCCTCCTCATGGTCGGCATACGAACGACGACCACCCTGCATTCAGTGATAATTAAGAGGTGTCTGCGGTTAACCACAACGTTCTAATTGGGATCAAGAGGTTAACCAGCAGCACACTTCTCTTCTGGGTGGCCGTCCGTTCGGTAAGTTAATTCGGTAAAAAGTCAAAAAGACAAATAGGGGTATACGGACTGGCAATTCCATGAAGGGGAGGCAAACTAGATGAACCAGCAATATTAGTTTTACAGAGGAATTTGTCACACCCAATCAAAAAATCAATAAGATTAGTTTGGCATGATCTCCCTGAAATAAACCCATGTTGTCTCTGATCTTGAAATATATGTGTTTTTAGATGTTCAACAATCCTATCCTTTAACATGGTTTCCATCACTTTCCCAACTACTGAAGTAAGGCTTACTGGCTTATAGTTGCCCGACTCCTCCCTATTACCTTTCTTGTGAATGGGCACAACATTCGCTAACTTCCAATCTTCTGGGACTACTCCTGTTAATAATGATTGGTTAAATAAATCTGTGAATGGTTTTGCTAGTACACCACTAAGCTCTTTTAATAGTTTTGTGTGTATTCTATCAGGTCCCATTGACCTATTTGTCTTTACTTTTGACAGTTGAAATAGAACCTCTTCAAATTTATTTGGCTCTATACACCAACACAATAGGTTTGAAATGAAACAAACAAGATGCTTTAACTGCAGACTTTCAGCTTTAATTTGAGGGTATTCACATCCAAATCAGGTGAACGGTGTAGGAATTACAACAGTTTGTATATATGCCTCCCACTTTTTAAGGGACCAAAAGTAATGGGACAGATTAACAATCATAAATCAAACTTTCACTTTTTAATACATGGTTGCAAATCCTTTGCAGTCAATTACAGCCTGAAGTCTGGAACACATAGACATCACCAGACGATGGGTTTCATCCCTGGTTAGGCTCTGCCAGGCCTCTACTGCAACTGTCTTCAGTTCCTGCTTGTTCTTGGGGCATTTTCCCTTCAGTTTTGTCTTCATCAAGTGAAATGCATGCTCCATCGTATTCAGGTCAGGTGATTGACTTGGCCATTGCATAACATTCCACTTCTTTCCCTTAAAAAACTCTTTGCATGCTTTTGCAATATGCAACGGGTCATTGTCGATTTGCACTGTGAAGCGCCGTCCAAATAGTTCTGAAGCATTTGGCTGAATATAAGCAGATAATATTACCCAAAAAACTTCAGAATTCATCCTGCTGCTTTTGTCAGCAGTCACATCATCAATAAATACAAGAAAATCTATTCCATTTGCAGCCATACATGCCCACGCCATGACGCTACCATCACCATGCTTAACTGATGAGGTGGTATGCTTTGGATCATGAGCAGTTCCTTTCCTTCTCCATACTCTTC